GAAACATGTTAGAAAAAGAGAAAGATTGATTTCTGTTTTTTAGATCATAAACATGAGAAACTGTATAAACATAGTTGTATTTCATAAGTAATATTATTATTTATAATAATTTAATCATATTAATTTTCCAGTTTTTTAAAACAATCACTTTTATATACAGTGTCTATTATAAGTCTCATAATTACTTTGGGGATTAAAATAAAATTATTAAAAGGCCATGCTTATCACAATCTGGCTCTGAAAAACCTGCATCTCATAAGGACTGATGATTAACTCAGGTCATATATCTAGGAAGTGGAAGAATTAGGAATTTAAACAGACGATTAAGCTCCAAATATGTTACTTCTCATCAACTCCAGTAGTTGCCCCAGGATTTTTCAGTGGGAAAACTGGAGGACAGAGTTATTTAAAGCCTCCTCCCTAGCCCAAACTTGCGGAGAATTCCTAGCCGAATCTGTTTTGTCCTGGCACTATAGACAATGGGGTTAAGCACTGGGGGAAGGAGCAGGTAGATGTTAGCCATGAGGATGTGGACTACAGGAGACAGATGCTTCCCAAAGCGATGGGCCATTGACACTCCAATAACTGGAACAAAGAAGATGAGCACCACGCAGATGTGGGATACACATGTGTTGAGTGCTTTGAGCCGTTCTTCACCAGTTGCAATGCTCAGCACAGCATTCAGAATCAGGACATAAGAAAGAAGAATTAAGACTGAATCCACACCTAGTGTGACAATAACTATGCACAGTCCATAAATGTTGTTGATCCTGACATCTGAACAGGACAATTTCAGAACATCTTGGTGCAAACAGAAAGGATGGGAGAGGACATTGTCGTGGCAGTAGTGATAATGGGTTAGCAGCAAAGGTGTGGGTAGTACAACTCCCATGCTTCTTAGCAAGCAGGCCAAACCAATCTTGCCTATTACACTGTTGGTGAGGATGGTGGTATAGTGAAGTGGATGACAGATAGCAACAAAACGATCAAAGGCCATGGCCAATAGCAGTGAAGATTCCAGGAATGTGAATGTGTGGATGAAGAAGAGCTGAGCATAGCAAGCACTTGCCTGAATTTCTCGAGTATGCAACCATAAAACAGAAAATATAGTGGGAAGTGTGGACAGGGACATACCTAGGTCATTTAGTGCCAAAATGGAAATGAAATAATACATGGGCTGGTGGAGTGAGGACTCAATCCAAATGACAGACAGAATGGTAATATTACCAATAAATGATCCCAGGAATACACAGCAGAATAGAATTGAGAGCCAAGAATGAGCATACTCCAGTCCAGGAAAACCCTTCAGAATAAATATGGGCTCCATAGTACCATTGGCATTCCACACCACCATGGTGACTCTGGTGAACATGAGGAATAGTTTTTTGTTATTCTTTTTTATCCCTCAAAGTTATTCCTTGTGAGCATAGGCAGTGCCATCAGAATACAATACATATTTCCTCTAACCTCACAGAGGGAAAAAGGAGGTACCTTTTATGGTTCGGTTCTCATGTAAGAAACATTTTGCATGAAAAACAAATTCTGGAACAAAAGTGTGTACCACAGAAACCTGGTAATCTCTGACAGGAACTTTTATGTATTTGCATCAATAATCTTCCACTCATTAGCCCATCTTAAAATTGTTAAGAAAGATTGGAATAGAATATCACATTTCATACATTTCAAAATTGTTTACCTCTAAGGAGAATGACATTCACTTGCTCTCCTGCATAAATTGTACATTGTCCTTTTAATGATTTTACTTTCTTTAGTCCTTGTAGATTAACATAGACTATGCCAAAAGCTACTTACGCCTTATTTGCAATTAAAAAAGTTAACACCTGAAATTTACACAGAAGCCAAATTCATCAATATGAATGCTTAATCATGTTACCAGTAGTCCTTTTCCCAAATAATCCAGTTTTATTTTTCTTTATATGCCTAAATTTTCCTCCTTTGTAGGTAAGGAAAGCCATATTCTCTCTCTCTCTCTCTCTCTCTCTCTCTCTCTCTCTCTCTCTCTCTGTCTGTCTCTCTGTCTCTCTCTCCCATTAATTTACTTTCTAAACATCTTTATTCTCATATTCTGCTCAGGTTGCCATTTCATTCTATTTTCTTTTTACCTAACTTTGTGTCTTTTCACCAAATAATTCTCTACTTTTCCCAGTCCTTTTATTGCCTCTTTCTTTGAATTTTTCTTTGTATTTCTGTGCTGTTAGTTTTTGCTCTCTTTGGTATATTCCTCACCTGAGAAGAGTTGCATCTCTATCTGAAGATCAAACTTAAACAGATTATATATGCTACAATTTTGATTCTCCATGGACCTCAGGTACTGAAAAGCTTTGGTTCCACCAATAATGAGGCTTGAATGCTTTCACTATCCCTATAAATACTCCTGGGTTATAAGATTTGGGGTTGGTGTCACAGTCTGATGGATCCCCAGAGAAGCTATTAATATAAATAGCCTTTAACTACAGCTTGCCAGGAACATATGATTATGATCTTGGAAATTGTAGAAATGTGTCTCTACATCTATCCACCACAGCCAGTCTTTTCTTTCAAATGGAATAGTTTTCTCTTCTTGAGTGAGCATATGAGAGTGAACTCATGGTTCCTACTCTAACCCAGAGAAATACTAAAACTTCAGCTTCTTTAGGGACATTCATATAGAGCTAAGGTACTTAAGTGTGATAATAGGCCCTTCTACAATATTATAAGGTCTTTACCCTTTCTTCATGGACAGGGTTGTTCATTAGTTATGTGTTTACTAGTAATTCATTAAGAAACAATAGGATTCAAGTCTCCATACTGAGCTCTGTAAAGGCAAAAACCATTATCTGGAACATTGCTTGGTATAAAGCAAGGCTTCCCAATATACTCTTAACTTATCTTGACTATCCACCACTTGGAATTTATTTATAAACTTTAGAAATAAATTGTGATTTTCTTTCAAAATATATATTGAGACTTTTATTGAGAATGAAGTTGAAATTGATCCATAGATCAATCTTGGGAGAATTAAAATTTTTAGATGACCAGATTTTCCAGTTTAAGAACATATACCTCAGTTAATTAAGGTCTTTATTTTTTCAAAATATTGTTTGTACTTTTCTGTTAAGAGATATTATACATCTTACATTAGATTTATTTTTATGTGTTTGATATTAATTTATGCTAATGGTAACAGAGTTCATAGATTATCTTTTTCTAAGTCTTTGGTACTGATATATAAAAATAAAATCATGGAAAATATAATACAAATAAACAAAAATAAATAAAATTTTTTAAAAATAAAATAAATCAAATTCTTATATGCAAAAGTCCAGAGGATCCTTTTAAGAAATTAAAAGAGAGCTTATTCAGGTCATAGATATGTAAACCAGGAAACAGAGCCCTCAGAATGAAATGAGAATATGTTCCTAGATAGTGGGGATAAGAAGATTTTCTGAAGGCAAAAGTTGTAAGGAGCTGGTGATCAAAGAGATGGGTTTCTAGGAGAAACAAGACCATAAATTTACACCATTCATTTTCTGACTGGTCTTTTCAATGTTTGGCTGGCTCACTGGTCAAACAAATGGGGTTGTGAGAACAATAGATAATATATGATAAAACATTTATCAAATCCTAGTTTCAGCCCAGGCCTATAGAACAAACAAAACAACAACAAAAAAACTGGTCTTTGGTCACACAATTACAGTCCAGGAAATATTATTTATCAGCGATGCAAGGAGCATGCCCTATCAATCAGTACAATCAACACAGTGAGGCTGCTAGCTCTGCAGGTGGTTTTAGAGTCCAAAAAGGCTAAGTCATGTCTTGCAAGCAGCTTCAGAGCTCAAATTGCAAAAACCTAAATGTTAGGCCATAAGTTATGACATTAAATTTCTTATAAGACCTCAGTATTTATCAGAAATTAACACCCATGAGGGGAAGAAGAGCATTGGGCAAGGAGAAAAGTGCCGAACTGCATATCGCACGGGCCAGACAGCCTGGGCCAACACACTGAGACTCCGCTGCATCACTCTAAAGAATTTCCCTGTGTAATGTGAAAATGGTGAGACATTTGCTTCCCAGTTTCACCCATTTGTGTGCTGTGGGTGAAGATGGGTGTGACTGCAGGGAAATGACTTTTCTCTGAAAGCTGACACAACTTACAGAGACGTGTCATGTCCTATAACTCAAAAGACTGTAACCAATTTTACTGTCTTATTTCTCATCTACTTTCCTACAGTTACTCTTAAGAACTCAAATTATCATTTTATGCACAGTAATTTGAGTTTTTCAGAAATCACTCTCAAATACCATTTGTATTTTCAAAAACAAGTACATTGGCTTATCTTAATACATATACTATATTGTTTTTGCAATGAAAACATTAATATTAAAATAGTTTATGAAATTTTCTTTTTATATGACTTGCTCTTGTCCTTTTTTGCACCTTTGTTAGTACAGTCTTTCCTGACCCATTTTTGAAATAATGTCCCTATGTAATGTACTAGCCTCACTTCCCTTGGCAGATGCCTTTACTTCAACTTATCACCCAAAACTCAGTTTTCTCATTTTAGGCTTTTTATTACCAGGCCAATATTGCCTTAAGCATTACAGTCCCTCGTGTCAGAAAATTTTCCCCATTTGTCTTCATTCTAAAATAGAAAAATGAGTGCTTATGTCTGGCCAGGTGAGTGGAATAACCCTTCAGCCTAGTATGTCGTACACCTCCTTGTGGCTTCTACTCTGCATCTGATTACATACTGTTGTCCTACCCATCTCATACTCTCCACCAACGATTTTCTTCTCTAAATCCAGGCAGTAAGATATAGACTTAACAGGACATACTTTTTTAATCTAATATCTCAACTACAATATTCATTATAGCTAAAATTATCAAGTACTGATTAAACAGGTTTACCTTCATTATATCATTTAGCACCATGACAGTAGATTAAGTCATTACAATTATGTAACAAATGTTACACCAAGTCACAAAGAGGTTAAATAACTTGCCCAACAACTCAGAGCTAATGAGTGATTAAGCTACCATCCTGACAGTTGGTCTCTGTAGCTGCAATCCTCAATGCAGCATAAATAACCTTCCTTAAACTCTGCCCATGTACTATTTAAAAGGCTTATTTTTAACTTTTTTTTCAGGTAATTCAAGAGTTCCATGACCATCTTTGCTAGAGTTCTCCACTCTACTATATTCTTCTCTCCCATCTCATCACAGACAGTGCTGGAACATACCAAACGCTGAGACATACCAAATTACAAGACCAAAATTTTACTCTTAAAAATAATCTTTATTTTGACCCTGAAGTATTTTGAGTTTTGAATGAAACCTGGTCAGGGCCACTGACCAAGTTGCATTCTTTAGGGGTTAATTCAAGCAGTATCCAAGGCTAGTTTTAGTGAGCTGAGTTCTTTGATCCTCCAATGAAGCCAATGAAACATCAGGTTAAATGCTTCTTCTGTGTCAACATCAGGGCATTTCAGATGAACATCTTTCTCCTAATAGAGGCAGAAGAATTAGTACATTTCAAGTGAATTTTTCTGCTCAGATTCCCCTCCCTTCCAGGGACACAGACCACAATTGCTGGATTTTTTGGATATCATCAACATCAAGGTGGAAGGTTCTAGGGTTCTGATAAACATATCTAGGGTACATGATGGAGTTCTGACTCATGAAGTGCCAGAGGCCTAGAGAATGACCCAGCTCATGAATAGCAACCAGGAGCAGATTAAACCCTTAAAAGGCACAAACAAAAGAGATAAAAATTAAATATGCATAGAGAATGCAGAAACTGATGTGTGAAAAACAAAAAAGAAAAAAGGAGAGAACAGAAAAGGAGGAAAAAACTACAATCCCCCCCCACCAAAAAAAAAAAGGTAGGCAGAGAGAAAAAGAACCTAAGTGGGATACGAAACAGCAAAATATATAAATAGATAAATTGGAAGTGAACAGAAACATAGAGAAATTTGATAACTGGAAACAAAGAGATAGAGAAAGTCACAATATGAATGTGTTTATTATCGGAGCATCTTTGTTTAGAAATAACCTGGACTTCCAGCCAAGATGGAGGTGTAGGTAGACACACTGTGCCTCCTCACACAACCAAAAGAAGGAAAACAACAATTTAAAACCAACCAACAAACAAAAAAAAAACAACCAATACTGACAGAAAATTGAACTGTATGGAAGCCCGACAAAGTTAAAGTAGACATATTCATCCAGACCAGTAGGAAGGGTGGAGTCGGGGAGCCAGGATGGAGAAGGCTCATGGCAGGGCAGCTGGTGGACCCTGGGTGCGCAAAGTGGCAGTTGGAGGACCCAGTGAGGTGGTGGATTGTGGAGGGATG